GGTGCAGCACCGGCCGCGGGAGCAGGGAGTATTATGGGCTGTGGGTGCCGCTGAGCAAGATGGAGCTGTCTGCAGTGGGCGAGCGGGTCTTCGCGGCCGAATCCATCATCAAACGGAGGATTCGAAAGGTGAGCCGCCGCCCGGGGCGGGACGCCTTGTTCCCGCAGCCGTTGCCCGGGTCCGCGGGCCCTCGGGGCGAAGCGGTCCCGCTAACCCGGGCTCTCTCGCCCACCCCCGCGCCGCCGCCTCCTCGGTCCCCGCATCCTCCCCACCCCCACTCTCCCCTTTTTTTCTTCTCTGTTTTTCAGGGACGCATCGAGTACCTGGTGAAATGGAAGGGGTGGGCCATCAAGTGAGTGTCTCCGGGTCCGGGGGCGAGGGGGGAGGGGAGGCAGTGGACGCCGGGCCTTTTTTTCCCTTGCTGGGTGCTCGCGTTGGCTCCTCGCGCGTGCCTCTTCCTCTCTGGTTTTCATTTTTATTTTCTGCATGTGTGACTCGGCAGGTACAGCACTTGGGAGCCCGAGGAGAACATCCTGGACTCGAGGCTCATCGCAGCCTTCGAGCAGAAGTGAGTTTGGGAAGCTGGCAGGGGCGGCGGGGCCGAGGCTGGGCTGGGGCGCCGCGCGGGGAAACGGGGGAGCCAACCCGGGAGGGCAGCGCGGAGCGGGGCCCGGGAAGGGGCTCTTTTTAACCTTTTGCGTTTCTCCGCCGCAGGGAGAGGGAGCGAGAGCTGTATGGGCCCAAGAAGAGGGGACCCAAACCCAAAACTTTCCTCCTGAAGGTAACCTGGCCCAGCCCCAGCAGCCCCCTCTCGGGCCCCTAGCCCCGCCACCACTCGGGGCCTGCGAGGGAGGGACAGATCGGCGGCCGCCCAGGCGGGCGTGCCTTTCCAGACCGGCCCCAGCTGGGCAGGGGGTGGTTGTGAGCCTTCGACGAGCCCCTGGCAGGAACCCCGGCCGGCTCCAGCTTCAGCAAGCGGGTTCTGGGAGTTGGGGGCCAGGAGGGGAGTAATCCTCGCTGACAAAACCAGGGCTTGGGGAGGCCTGCAGGGCTCCAGGAAGGAGGTGCATGAAGCAGGTGGGGACTGCCCCACCTGAGGTGGTGGAGGGAGGTCACTTCTGTACCTGAGAGCCTGCATCTCCCCCAGCCTTGAGGCATCTCCCCTTGGGCTCTGCCCGGAATTAGAACCCATGTGGTCTCCCTCATATCTGGGAACAGGAAGAGGCATTTGGGGGCCACCTGCTTCCCTGCCCCCAGCTTCTCAAGATTTGTTCTGCATGCCTTTCCTCCTCACTGGGGGGATTCAACTTGAATTTGACCTTAAATCACTTCACTTTGAGTTCAATAACCCAGGCTGGGCTCCTGGCTTCAGGCCTCTGAGCCTCAATTTCTCACTACCTCTGGCTGTTTCTAGAGGCCCTAATGAAGATGGAGAGTGGGGGAGTGAAAATATAGCACATTAGCCTTGGCAAGGGAGGGAAACCTAGCTCCAGAGGAAGCCATCTTAGTTTTTTGGGGTTTTATTTTATTTTATTTTATTGTTGAGAAAGAACAGAGTCTGGAAAAGGGAGGGTAAGATGACTCCAGATGACAGGCAAGGCTGCTGATGAGCCTCCCTGGGCAACTAGTCTGTGCGATACAGCTAAGATTGTCTCAGGGCACCTTCCCATCCCGACAGCCTGTGACTCTGTGGCATTTGGTACAGGAAGGGCAGTGAGGACTCTGCAGAGAGGAGATTGTGCAGAATGCAGAGCTCAGAATCACCAAAGTATCCAAAAGGCTCAAAGCCCAATGAGAGTGGGGTGGGCCTCTCCAGCCTCACCTCCCCACCCAAAAGGACTGTGTATTAGGATTTGCTTTTGGCTTAAAGCAGAAGTAAAAGAAGTGTTGGTTTCCAGAATTACATATTTCTGTGCTCCCTGGCCCGGATCTAAACACATCTTGGGGGTCCATGAAGCAGCCTTAATTAACCCTTGATGCTGCTTAGGAGGGATTTATGCAGAGCTGCTGAAGGGCTGGTATGACAGCGTCTCAGCGCTGCTGGAGCGCCCCCTAGTGGTGAAGGGAGTAATGACTTGATTCACGAAATGCCTTTTTGAAAATAGTTCTAGTTCCTGAGCAGGCAATGGGCCTAACACAGTGCTGAGCCCCTACATGGATTATCCCCTTTAATACTCTCAACAACCACATGAAGTGGGGAGTATTCTGTCCATTTAAAAAATGAGAAAGGCGCAGAAGGGGAATTGACCTCCCAGGGGTCCCACCACCCCACTTCATGGCTTCATCCTTTCGGGTTCCTCACCCTGTCCCTCAGAGAGCACGCGTCAGGTTACAGATCAAGATGACAGACACACCAGGAAACCGTGAAGGGGTGGCCTGCAGAGGCAGATGAGAGGACCATGATTGGGAGCCACTGCGAGGCAGCGTGTACAGTAAACCAGTTACACTCGGCACTTTCTGCTGGGGAGTATTTTGAAGGGAACAGGAGCCAGGGAAGGAGATTGCATTATCCCCATTTACACACAGGAAAACAGGTCAGATGAGTTAAATACCTTGCCCGCGATCCCAGAGTATCAGGAGTAGAGTCTAGGTCTTTAACCTTTCATGCTGTCTATAGTACATGCTAATCCCTTAGGGCCATGCCTGTCACCAGGTCAGTACTGTAAACATGTTGGCTGTGGTTGCCATGTTTAAATCACAGGCAGAGCCAGGTCCTACCTACAAAAAATTTTCAGTCTGGAGAGGCAATAGAAGGAGAAAAGTTAAACCAGTCCCTTCAAAAAAAAAAAATTGTACAGGATGGGACAAAAGTAGGCTTACCATTCATAATGGAAAATAATACAATAATTAATAAATAATAGTACAAGAATAAACTTTCATACTCACCACTGTAAACCTACTTTTGCCCCATCCTGTATTTAGAGATTATAAAGGAAGAAATATTTCTCACAAAGTTTGGAAACCATACCTTAGAAAAACTTTATTGCTCATAAGCCCACCCACCATCCCCCCCATGGATAAATCTAGTCTTTATTGAGTGCTTGCTCCATGCCAAACACTGTGCTAAGCAGGTAACAGGTAGCGATGGTCATAGGAGCGGCTGTGGCGGGTTCTGCTATGATTGCACAGATAGGGAAAGAAGCCCAGGGGCCCACTGAGCCAGGGTTTAAGCCTGGGTCTGAGGTTTGCCCACACTCTTAGCCACTCCGCAGGGATTGTCCATCACTCCTGGACTTTGGCAGAACCATTATTACAGTGGTCCAAGGGCTCAGGCAATATGCAGAGGGAAACCACTAACCCCCTGGGGGTGTGGATCAGAAAGAACCGGATCCCGTAAGCTCCTACGGGGTTGAACCTGCAAAAGGCTCTGCTTGCCATGCCAAGGAAAATCCAGTGGCTTTCCCCTGCCTTTGTCTGGGAAGGGGGTGTAAGGGAACCAGTAGTACCTGGCTCTGCTGCCTGGGAGCAAGAAGAGCTGGCAGCCCTGGCAGGGGGTGGCCGGGAATTGTGTGCTGCCACCTAGTGGCTGAAAGGATTGTTGACCAAGCAGCCCCTGGAGGCCCTAAGTGTGTGGTAGGGCCTCCTGTTGGATTAAAGTGTACTTCTAACATCAAATCTAAATGAAGGCATCCTTGCTTACTCAGCAAGTAAGTCAGCAAACACCTCTTCTGGGGGTTTAGGTCAAATACAACCTAGTCTTGTCTGAGGAGCATACAGGCTACCTCCCAGGTGTCAGTTAAGTGTCCAGTGCTGTTGTGGGTGAGGTGAAGAGACCCCAAACCACAGATCCACTCTCAGGGAGCTCACAGACTGTGGTAATGTGCCCTTTTCTTGGCCACTACCATCTCCCACCTGGATGAATGCAGTTACCCCTAATGAGTCCCCTGCCCCACCAGGAGCCAGGGATGTGTGTAGAGTACAGATCAGTCATCCACCTCCACCCTCTCTCCAGCCATTGCTTTCAATCCCTTGGCTACTCTGCATCCTTTCAATGCCAGGCGCTCTGCCTCCACCGTATGTCTTAGCAGTGCCCCTTCAGCAGGCCACCTGGGCCTCTGCAACCACCTGGGGCACTGTTGGACTCAGGAAGGACCAGGGCTGTCTCCTGCTCAGGCTCCTTCCAGGATCTGTGACCCTCTCTGTGCTTCTCTGGCCCCACATTTCCTCTTTTGCAGCCTAACTGCCTGTTACTTGTTTTCCGGAGGAGCACAGCCTCCTGGGTAGAGGCTGTGTTCATAGTTGTAGCCTCAAGTGGCTGGCACATCCTCATCAGTACTGTCACAGTAAGGGAACAATAGATAGACCATGGAGGACAACTGATACGGCCTTGAGTCCCTTGCTCTGAACCTGGGGTCTCTGGGGGCCCTGCCATACCCCAAGTGTTCCATGATATAGCAGGTGAGCTGCTGCAGAGCCCTGGGGCTTTCCAGTTTCACACCTGGGATGAAGCCGGGCCCAGGTGCCTGGGCCAGTATCCAGCTGCCCACAGAACTCTGTTCAGCTGCCCTGCCCCCACCGTTTTAGTGCAGAGACTGTGAAGTGGCCAGTACCAAAGGCAGTGATCCGGTGGGAGGCAGGTCCAAATAAGATGCATCCTGGTCAAAGGCAGAGAGAGACCACGGGGAATTTGGTATACTGCAAAGTAGGTCACTAGGGCTGGGGTATAGGGTGGAGCAGGGAGGGTCCTTCCTCTCCTTTCTGTCCCTAAGAATTGGTCCCTGGAGGAGTGCCAGGCTGGGCTGGCCCCCTTCACAGAGCAGGGTCGGTCAGGGACTTTTGAGCAAAAGGTTCTCTCTGTGTAGTGTCTCAACTGTTGACACTCCTGTGTCAACAAGGGCAGCCACCACCCGTCTGTCTTCAGGGCCCATAGCAGAGCTTGCATAGGTAGTGTGAGTCTTGGAGCTGGAGCTGGAGCTGGACGAAGGTCCGATTTGCCCTCCGATCTCGTGCACCTGCTTAGCCTGTCTGAATCCGGTTCCTTTTATCTCTAAGATGGGTCCTGAGCAGCGCTGATTCTCCTAAGTGCTCTCAGGATGGTTTAATGAGACCATTTGTGTGAGTGGCTGGTGCAAGGGTCTCGAGAGGAGGGCAGCGGGAAGCTGAGCCCGCATCAACCCTCTCCCTCTCCCCCGCAGGCGCGGGCCCAGGCTGAGGCCCTCCGCATCAGTGATGTGCATTTCTCAGTCAAGCCCAGCGCCAGTGCCTCCTCGCCCAAGCTGCACTCCAGCGCAGCCGTGCACCGCCTCAAAAAGGACATCCGTCGCTGCCACCGCATGTCCCGCCGCCCCCTGCCTCGCCCAGACCCCCAGGGGGGCAGCCCTGGCCTGCGCCCACCCATCTCTCCTTTCTCCGAGACCGTGCGCATCATCAATCGCAAGGTAAAGCCTCGGGAGCCCAAGCGGAACCGTATCATCCTGAACCTGAAGGTCATCGACAAGGGCACGAGTGGAGCCGGTGCCGGGCAGGGGGCTGGAAACCTTGCCCGCCCCAAAGTCCCCTCTCGGAACCGCGTCATCGGCAAGAGCAAGAAGTTCAGTGAGAGCATCCTGCGCACGCAGATCCGCCACATGAAGTTCGGAGCCTTCGCGCTGTACAATAAGCCGCCTCCGCCAGGCCCTCTCCCGCCCCCGCCAGCCAGCAAGGCTGACGTTGCTGCTTCCACCGCCCCGGGGCTGCTCCTGGCAGCCCCCTCTGCCCCCTACGACGCCCGCAGCTCCAGCTCCTCCGGCTGCCCCTCGCCAGCACCACAGTCCTCCTCTGACCCCGACGACTCACCTCCCAAGCTGCTCCCGGAGACCATAAGCCCATCTGCCCCCGACTGGCAAGAGCCCGAGGTGCTCGACCTGTCCATCTCTCCGGAGATGGCAGCCACCAGCAAGCGGGCACCTCCTGAGGTCACTGCTGCTGCCAGCCAGGCACTTCCCACTGCCCCTGAGCCTGCCGGCACCTCCGAGCCAGAGGCTGGGGACTGGCGCCCTGAGATGTCACCCTGCTCCAATGTGGTCGTCACCGATGTCACCAGCAACCTCCTGACGGTCACTATTAAGGAGTTCTGCAACCCTGAGGATTTCGAGAAGGTGGCAGCTGGGGTGTCAGGCACCACAGGTGCGAGTGGCAGCAGTGGGGTGAGCAAGTGAGGGTCTGCACCAAGGTGGGGGCTTTGGGGGGACCCTCCTGCCCAAAGTCATACTCTTGCTCCTGCCCCCACCCTCAGACACCTGCCTGTGCTTTGCTTGTTTTCAGTGGCTTGGTGTTGACCCCCGGGATGGGGTTGGGCAGTTGGGGCCTCCTGAAGCCCAGTGGGGCTCAGTCCTGGACCAGATTAGGGCTGGAGTGGGGTGAGGGCACTGGGAATTCCTCCCTCTTATCGTTTGGCACCCTCCCTGCCCATGCACGGTGGGGCCCACTGGGTAACTCGTAGGGAGTCCCAGATCCTGGGGTTCAGCTGCCTCCTCCACATCCCACCCTGTCTCCCTAGCTTGCTTCCAGCTCGTGCACAGCATCTGACCTCTCGGTGCTAATCCGGCAGCCACAGGGCCCCTTAGGAGATTCCCTCCCAGCCTGGGTACCATTCCTTTCCTTCCTCCAGATGCCTGGGCAGGAGGGGCAGGGATAGCAGAGCCCAGACAGGTTGAGGTGAGGGTGGCAGTGCCCAGAGGCATGGGTCTTCTGTCCACTTCTGGAGGAGACTCGAGCACTCCTTTAGGCCCCACCCACCTCTTTACTAAGCCCTGTCTGGAAGGTGGGAGGACCTGGCAGGACCTCCCCTTGCCACAGCCTCCAGCATCTAAAGGCCCCTTTCAGTTCTCGACCAAAGGTGCTACAAGAATCTGCTGTGGAAACTTCCAACTGTGCGCTTGCGTCTGCCGCCCCCTGGTGTGTGTATATGTGTATCCGTATGTGCGCTGGGCACTGGGTCCAAACTCTCCAGGCGGCACTCTTTAGGGTTCCTCAGAATAGGGTCGTCAAAGGCCTGGACCTTCCCATGCCACCAGCTGGGCCACCCCTCCGGTCCCGGGTGTCCTGGGCACATGCACCGCCATGCTCTTCTCCTTCTGGGTGGTCAGCCTGACTGGCCAGGTCTTCTGTGGCTGCACACCTGGCATGGTGGGGACTGAAGTAGAGGAGGGAGACCCTGCCCCGAGCTTCCTCTCCTCCTGGAGAAGGAGGAAGCCTGGAACTGTTCTCAAGGGTCTCGAGCCTCTCTTGCCCCCTCCCTTGCTTCTGACCGCTGAGGCTTTCTCACAGCCCAGCTTGCTCAAAGCAGCAGGAGGCCTCCGGTGCCCTTTGCAGCTTTTCTTGCCTGCTGCTGCCAGGGAGCTGAGGCATCCATGCCAGTAGCAGAGACCAAAGCCCCAATTTTAACCCAGACACTGGGAGGACAGGCAGGCCAAAGTGGGGGAACCGAAGAGAGGGCCTGGGTTCAGGAGAACGGGGGTTTACAGGGCCAGGGTCTGGTGCACTTTGGGGGCAGCCTCGGGAGGCAGCCCTGGGCCACTGTCACTCATTGGCATGAATGGCATGCTCTGCGAGAGGCTCAGCGTAGCTCCCTGGTATGTGTGGTGACAGGAGTCTCAGCTCAGAAGTGTGATGGCAAACGGTAGGAAGAGGCAGAAAGGGAATCCATTTAGGAAACAAAGAATGGGAGGACTCTTTCTTTCAGTGTCCCCACCAGGAGCTGGAGCCTGGCCCCTGGCCCTCTGCACCCCTGAGGGCCCTCAGAGGGTTTGGGGGGCTGGCACTCCCGGACCCCTCCCCACCTGCCCTTCGTGTTGGCTCTGTGGCCATCCAAGTGCCAATTGGCTTCCCCCCAAATAAGGGCTGGTTTTCTCCTCTGTCCTGAGAGGTGATTTCCCCCGACCCCTCACCCTAGGTGAGCGACCACCTGGGTGCCAGTTACAGGTGTTTCCAGAGACCATAGAAATGTGTTTTCCTGAGAGTCCGTGTCATTCGTGACTTTTTTTGTAAAGAAGTTGTGTTTTCAGAGGTGATTTTATGACAGGAAAGTGAAAGAATTAGTTTTGCAAAAAACAAAAAAAGGAAAAAAAAGAAATAGAAAAAATATTGTGGGATTCCTATGGGGTTGGGGAGGGAGGGGAGAAAGAGATATTTAAAGAAAAACTGGTAACGCAGTGATTGCACAGGTGAGGTGGCGATGTTTGGGATAGGAATGGAGGCCCAGGCCCAGCGGGTGGGGCCCCGGGGTTGTGGCCAGCGGCCCTCCCTCCTGTCCTGGTCCAGACTCCACACCTGTCCTCGCTCAAAGGAAAGGATAAAAGCTGGTTCCAAGGTAACTAGCCAGAAGATGTAAGGACCAAGCAAATGGAGCTGAGATTTGGCGTGGGGGGCAGTGAGGGTCCCACTCTTGGGCCAGGACCCATTGTTGGTGACTTTCTCCAGGAAGGCTGGTGAGTAGGTGCACTTGGGTTTCTTGCTCTCCTCCGCTCCTTTGCCAGCTTGTTGGGCCATCTGGTTCCCACCTCCACCACCCCATGGGGGGCATCTTCCTCCCCATCACCCCAAAGACCATGACACCCGTGAGCTTCACTGGCCAGGTAGGGGATGCAGGCTTCAGGAAGACAGGAGCTGTGGATGCTGAGAGACTCTTAGGTGGTGATCCTGAGGGATTAGGGGCAACCATGGGGAGAAGGGAATGCCTGCCCCCTTCTCTTTCCACTGGTAGGTGGGTTGCTGCCCCTGACCCCAGCCTTGCAGCCCCACCCCACCTCGGTGTGTGCAGAGGCACGCATGCACACTGCTCTGAGGTGGTAAGCTCCCCTGGGGGCCCTGCGTGGGCACGGTGTCACAAGCAAACAGCCCACCTTACCTCTCTCCAGGGTGGCTTAGAGCAGGGTCCCAGAAGCCCCCCCACACACACACTTGCACGGATCAGCCTCCTGTGGGCCCTTCCCCCTTGCTGCTTTTCCGTTTGCCTAATTACCAAGCAGAAGTTGCAGTCTGGTTTGCTTTATTTTTATATGTGAAATACCCCCACAGCCCGATCTCCCATGTTCAGTATTGGTTGGGGCATCGGTCATGTCCCCTTAATGCCACTCCTCTTTACCCACATGCCATAGGAAACAGATGAGGTCTGGTGTCTCTGGTTTGAGATGGGAAGTTGGGACCCATCCCTGTCTCATTCCCCTCTCTGACCCTCATTTGCCCATCTGTGAAATGGGTGTATTGGGAGCAAGGCCTCTTCGTAAAAGTACTGCTGGTGTCCAGGCAGCTGCTGAGAAATAAGTGGTGGTTGAGGTTGGTGGGGCTGGGCCTGCAGCCTCCCACAGCTCCATTTTGCTCTCACCCTGTGAAGGGGTCTGGGTCAAAATGAGCTCCGTACTTCCTCTGCTCTGGAAGGAGGCGACGATCAAGTCCCCAGCCTCTGTGAGGCAGGAGAGTGGGAGGAATCACCCCATTTATGGAAATGGGCTCCGAGAGACAGAGCTGCTTCTCGGGGATGAAGAGCCCAGCTGCTCTGGCCTTTGACATTTTTAAAGCCTGTTAAATGGCGGGGCCTGGGCCCTGGAGCCACCACAGAGCTGGCAGGCTACCCTTGAGCCAGGGGTCCCCAGTGAGGGGTCAGCCCTGAGTAGGAAACTTAGCTGGGGGGTGAGGGGTGGAGGCAGGGCCACCACCAGCCTTTCTAGCCCCTGGAGACCCAGGTGAACACCGTCATTCCCACCTTTGGGGGTTTGGTTTGGTTTGGTTTGCACTTGGCCCACGCCGGACAGCGGAGCCCGGCCCCCCCCCCGGTCAGCTCCACAGGCTCCCATGCACTAGCCCAAGGCAGCCTCTTGGTGGTTTGTATGGTTTAAGGAATCACTTTAAAAAAAAAAAAGAAAGTGTTTAAAGGTTTTTGTTTTTTTCTGTCTGCATCTCCTCTCATTCAGAAAGCCCAGAATTAAGGCCTCAAACTCTAGGAGAGTGTCTCCCAGCCTGACCCCATCTTGCTGACAGTCACCAAGATGCCAAAGTGGGACAGGCTGGATGGGGACTGAGAACCCCACCTCCCAGGCCTGCAGGGCCCCCCTTGAAGGAGTCAGCACCTCACTCCAACAGTGAGTGAGCTCCTACTGTGTGCAATGCTTCCGCTAGGCAAAGGGGGGCTGATAGCCTAACGGGGGACCCTTCGTAAGAGGCCAGCGTAGAAGGAACAGGGAGTTTGCCCCCCCTCCCCCTGCTGTGGGCTAGAGTGGAGATGGAGATTTCTTTTTGTTGGTTTTAATTTAAAAACACAAAGGCCTAAGGAAATGTATCTTATAATTTTTTTTAATTTTTGAAAAGCTCATTTAATGAATTGTGCACGGATGAATTCTATATATATAAAGTATACATATATAGCTCTATATTTGGGGAGGGCGCTGTCTCTTTTTTCTCTTTCTCATTTTAAAAATGAAGTGTTGTTGCCTTTGTCTGTGGTTCAACCATCCAGCTCCCAGCTGGCTAAACTCTGCCTCCAGTGGTTAAAGATAGGAAACTAGTGGGGTCGGCAGGACATGCCCCAGCGCAGGGGTCCGTCCACCTGCCCCTGGCCCGGAGGCTGCGGGGGAGAAGACGGCTTGTTTCGGGTGTGGG